AAAATCCTCCGGATTAGCCTTCCGGATCGTCGCGGTCATCTCGTCATGAATCATACGGCGAATCTCATCATCGCTAACACCGCTGCTCTCAAGTGTGTGTGATGTACCAACCATGATGTCTCTGAAACACAACACAAAGATACCAGAGACTCGATCGAGTATACTCGCACTCGATCACCCAACCCTACTTGTTCCTTGGTACCCTAAGGATTCTTACTTGGACTGCTCACTGATCCGGTGTCGTCAGTAGTACGGGCCCTATACTACCGTCCACACCGCATTAGTATTCACCCCAAGTCCTCCTCCTAGGATCCCAGATTACAAGTACTCTACATCTCGCTGGCATAGGCTACCCTTCGGTAGACCTCGCAAAAGCTCCTCACTGCTACCTACTCATTCTCAAGCATCACATAGCAGCAGAAATCTTCCTAGGCTAAGGCATCACAAACCACGCCACTCTAGTCCTAATATGAATACCTAGCCTACTCTAGCATGCATATCATATCATAACATATCTCGTAACACATAATGTAAGTGTATTTTCGGAAATCACCGTTCGAGCGCTGGCTGATCGTACACACTGCTTCCTTCTACTTTTCTCAAATCCCTTTACTTTTTGAAAAATTGTTTATTTTATGAAAAACTTTCTCAAATCCTCAGTTTAAGTTCAAATACACCCGAAGGTGCATCCGAATCCCTCAAACCAAGGCTCTGATACCAACTTGTAACAACGTAAATTTCCAAAACAACTTTTCATTTATAAAACATACTTTTAGTCACAAGATAATATCAAAACATAATGTATCCAATGTTATCGTAACAAAACATATCCCAGAATCTCAAGACATAAACTCCATGAGTGTGTACGGATCATGTCGGCGCCTTCCCGCGATCCTCGCTGGTACCTGAAACACATAACACAACAACTGTAAGCATAAATGCGTAGTGAGTTCCCCATAATACCACATTCAACACATACGCCACTCAAGGCCATAGCTCTATGGGACCTTCCGGTCCCTGTGTCTTAGGGGACTTCCGTCCCAACCCTAGTAGACCTTCCGGTCCTACTCCATCGACCTTCCGGTCCTACTCTGTCGACCTTCCGGTCCAGACCACGTTGACCTTCCGGTCCATACACTGCCGACATTCCGGTCCATACCATGTTGACCTTCTGGTCCATATCATACTGACCTTCCGGTCCATACCATGCTACTCATAACATACGTAACATATACATAGAAACATAGAAACATATATCACGTACTCGTCCTAGCACATAAAACCTTCCGGTCACACATTTCATAACTCATAAACATAAGACCTTCTGGTCACTCATAGTTACCATTCCAGGTAAAGTATAGTGAGAATAATCACCTCGTACGAAGTCGGATAAACTCTCGTGATGGACGTCCCGACCTAGCCTCCTCCTATCATCCGAATAACATTTCCGATCAAAACCCTCTCATAGTCTCATCATTACAGATTGGGTAGAAGGCCATTCCACCCCTCTCTGAACTTCCTGAATCAGCTTGACCAAAACCCTAAAGTCAACTGAAGTCAACGGTCAAACTTTGACCCGACTCGTCGACTGCTCATGGGTGACTCGGCGAGTCCATGCGGATCCTCTGAATCCTTCTAGCCTCACTTGGCACGTCGAGTCATCCCTTCACTCGACGGGTTACTCCTGTCACGAATCGCGGGGCAACCCCGACTCGACTCGTCGAGTCCACTTATGGACTCGGCGAGTTGCGTCCATGGCAACACTCAAATGACCTTCTGAGGTCAGATCCGCTTCTCTAACCTATAGATCTGACCTTTCCATACTCACTAATCACGTAAAGGTGAAACCTTTACACTCATGCAACACATATACGGTTCCTTTTAAAGAAATAGCCTCACAAATGGCAACCTAAGTTCATTCCTTTCATAACACTTCATAAAGCAAGATGGATAATGCTCTCTGGACCTCTATGGGTCCAGATCTAAAATCTAACACATAAAGGGACCATAATCTCATCAATTCAAGCCATAAAAGGGGTACAGAAAACCCTAGATTCATAGATCTTAACCAAAACAGAAGGAGAGTTCGATTTGCTACCTCAACACTGCAGATCCAAGCTTGGAAACCACAGATTAGCGACCCTCTTGACCTCCTCTAGCTGGAAACACCTTCTTCTTTGCAAAACAACACTAAGAAGGATTAAAATGGCTTGCTCTCACACACAACTCGCCCAAGCTCTCTAGGGTTTCTCTCTCTGGACTGGTAGCCGCAAATGAGCGCTATAAGTACCCTTAAATAGGGCACAGGCCCAAAGATTTAGGTTTTCTGTCCACAGCGCGGACTCATCGAGTCCACCCATCGACTCGTCGAGTCCCTTAATTAATGCAGTCAGGAAATCGTGATCCTACTCGACGAGTCTAGGCGTCAACTCGTCGAGTCCTTCCTCACAACTCAAAAAGGAATACTCAAATTGTCATGCCTGGAAATCCGGATGTTACATCATCTTCGATTTCTCCTTGAAATAAATGTAAGTGTTTTTCTATTACGGACAACAATTAAAGTGTATTTAACATTAATTATTTTCATGCAGCTAATATTATAACAAGAATGATAAAATCAAAAATAAAAATGATGACACTGGGTAGAAGTAGTGAAGTTGAAACTTCAACAGGCAAACGGTTTCTTCAAAAAAGAAAATCATTGAAGTCGATCGATGAATTAACAGCTACAACATCAAAAGAAAAAGAAAAAAAAAGTACATCATCAGTTATTCTATTCTAATAAAATATTTATCTCATTTGTTTCTGTTATTCTATGTATTATAATAAAATATTCTATATTCTATTAATGTTTTTCTATATTCTATTAATCTTATTCTAATAGAATATTTTTAAATATTAATCTAATTTGTTTCTGTTATTCTATGTACTATAATAAAATATTATATGTATTATAATAGAATATAAAAGAATAAATGATATATTGTGTATTCTATGTATTCAAATAAAATATTTATCTTATTTGTTTCTGTTATTCTATGTATTACAATAAAATATTCTATATTCTATTAATGTTTTTCTATATTCTATTAATCTTATTCTAATAGAATATTTTTATATATTAATCTAATTTGTTTCCTTATTCTAATAGAATATTTTTAAACGTTACTCTAGATATTTGCATATGATAAATCAATTATTAAATCCTAATTTGATTCTGAAAATGGCAATAAACTGCAAAAAGGCTGGATATGGGTAAAACTCATGAAAAAACTTCAATAGTCGAACGACTAATTGAAAGAAGAAAATCATTGAAGCTTATTGATGAATCAGCCGATACAACAGCAAAAGTCAAAGAAAAAAAAGGTATATCGTCAATTATTGTATTTGTACTGTAATATCTTGTGTATTAATGTTATTCTAATAACAAGAATGTCATATATAGGTAAAATTCATATTTGTTATTATTGATTATGCATTTACAATTAGAGTTAGCAGAAACATTTTACATAGTTCATTTTAATTGGAGATTTTGTGTTGACTAATAACATGTTTTTTTTTAAAGAGCTTGACTAATAACATGTTAGTTAAGCCCTAATGGGTTTTTGTCTAACCCTAATCACTAAAAGTTTGGACTTAATTATGCGATTAGGTACTTAAATCATGATAATTAAAGTTTGGAAGAAAGTTTCCATATAATCAATTTGATCGATTTTGCCCTTATGCAAAGTATTGACAATTTTACCCTTGTTTCAAAAATGGTTGGTTTCAGAGATTTTTAGAATCGTTTGACTTATACCTTGTCGAAAGTTGAAATTAGGTGACAATTACCTGGTGTAAGTATTATGATAAGTTAGAATATAATTTTGAAATAAATGTAAGTGTTTTTCTATTACATATAACAATTAAAGTGTATTTACTGTAATTATAGAATGTTGTTGGATTTTCTGAAGTTGTCAAAGTTGGTGTTTGACTTTGACTTCTGTTATTAATTATATTGATGTCTCAGCATTCATTAGCTTCTGAAACATAGTAGACATATTCATATATATGTTATTCTAATAGAATATTCTGAAGTGTTAATTTTGTATTCTATTTTTATGATGTTATTATCTTTTTCTAATATTATTTATTCTGAAAATCCGAATGATAACATCGAGAAAAAAATTAAAAAAAGGAAGTTAGACAATACGAATGATAACATCGAGAAAAAGACAAAAACAACAAAAGATTTATTAAAAGATCCGCCTTCAATAAATACTAGAATGAATCCCGGAGCTATGATTGAAGTTATAAGAAGTTTAATTATGTCTCAAAAAATGTGTAAAGAAGATGGGTTTTGGATCGCTTTGGAGTTGAACATCAAGAGAATTTCGTTGAAGCTTGCACATTTTGTTGTTCAACATTATGATCATCAAAACAAGAGTATTGTGCTTGATAAAAAAAATTAAGATCACAAAAGAAAAGATTCATAAAGTCTTTGGTCTACCAAATGGAGGAAGAAGCTTATTTGATTTTCATTTTGTTGACAGTGAGAATGAAACGTATGTTACATGGAAAAGCCAGTTTACAAAAGAAACAATGAATGCCACTGGATTCAAAGAAGCCATTCTGAAATCCAAAAGAGATGATGATACCTTCAAGCTAAATTTTCTTTCTTTGTTTGTGAATACGTTTGCTGAACACATTCTTATGGGACGTGCAACATAGATCCTATTAGAAGAGTAGTTGGAGTTGAAGACATCTCATGCATTGATTGGTGTGCGTACTTAAATTACTGTCCGAAGAATACAAGATCTCTATGGCATCAAGATAAAAAGAAATGTTATTATAATGGGCCAATGTTGTTATTGATGGTATGCTTTTTGTTTAATTATTTTAATTATTTTTTATTTATGAATATCTAATACAATTTACAAACTACTATCATGCAGCTACTTTACTGTGACGGTCTTGAATGTCAGCGTTTAATCTTAAAGTCAAAAATTCCAATAATAACAATGTTGTCAACAGAGGATTTGAATAACAGGCAGTCTTTTGAAATTGAAGATGGTGGGTTTGGATGTGGAAAAGTTGTTATCACACAAATGACGAGAGATAGCGAGGAACCGTCCAATGTGAAAGACAATCTTTATGACACTGTTGAGGTAACTTTAACTAAAATATAAAATATAATTCCTTTTTATATTAGGTTAAAGTATGATGTTATAAAAAATTATGGATATTCTTATATTACATGCTTATGGTTCGTAGTAAATATTCTAGATATTCTAAGATGATAAAATATTACATGCTTATAATTCTAGTATTTTATTATTTTTCAGGAATATAAAGAGAACTTTGATAAGATGTTCAATAAAGTTTCATCAATAAAGGAGGACATGTATGGAATTGTTTCTGATTGTATATCAAAGTTCCCAAATATAACAAATGAATTGAAAGAGAAGTTCATTAATTTATTTTCAGATCCTATTTTTTCAAGTGCTGATAATCAAAACAATGAAAACGAAAAAAAGGGATCACATGAAAGGGTTGAATCTCAAAATGGTGACACGGGGGAGAATGATATAAGTTCTTACAAATCACCATATATGGATAAAGCTGTGAATTTATTTGATAGAATCAATTTGCAGAATGTTCTTTTGATTCAGGTTCTAATAAGATGTGCACAGGATAAAAATAGAATGTAAGTCACTAACTATTGCTATTTCAATTAAACATGTATTATTTTTTCTGAATCGTTGTTTAACTATAATACATGTGGATATTTATTCTAATGTCGATGACATAGTTTTTGTTCATGTTTAAAATTAAGGGAGGTACTTTTTGAAACAAATACGGGAGAGATTATGCGTAGACAGGATTTTGAGAGCATGCGGCCTGAACATGTTATACATCATCGTCTGATTGATTCTTAGGTTGTTGTTCTAAATTACGAGGAACAAAAGTCAAAAAGTAAACCATACCGCCTCTTCTTCAATACCAAAATTATGGTAAATTCTTTTACAATTTTAACTTTTATATTTTAGGTATAAATTATAACAAGATATTCTAATTTTTCTGTTTTCTATGGTTACAGAGTTCTGAGTTATTAGATGAAACTAAATCTTTTGACGAGCGTTTTTTTAACTTTTGAGACTCGTGTTGATAAGTTTCTATCTAATTTCAAGGCAGATGTAGATTTCAATGATCTTAAACTCGTAAGAATATTTTATTAATTAAAATATTACATTATTAAAGGATAGCAATTATGTTAACTTTTTGATCAATTTGTTGGAATTGCAGGTGGTTTTCCCAATACATAATGGTGATCAGGTGTATGCTGTTGTTTTCAACCTAACATATCCACAAGTTCATATTATAGACAGCATAAAAACAAAATCGTTAGGAGAAACTTATGGAATGACACCTACATCATTAGTAAGTTTTCATTTACATTTATTAAATGTATTAAAGTTACAATATAATAGATTGGATAATGTAATTTTGTTAATATACATTGCAGAAATTGTACTTTATACGATATCTGGAGAAAACTACATTTATCGTCAATAAAATCAAAGGTTTGCGATCAACAACAGTGAAGATGAAGAAATTGACTGGAACACAAAGAAGTTGACAACAGAGAATGGAGCACTTTTAATGAGACATATGGAAAAATATTGTGGAGAAAAGCAAGGAAAGTGGAATGTGGAAATGGAAAAAGGCGGTGATGTGCAAGATGTGCAATTTGTAAAATTACATGCCTTATATTCTGTTAAGATTGCTACACATGAAATCAACAACCACAAGGAGAGAGTTATCAAAGAGGCAATCGAATTTGGAAAATTTTATCATGCGACTAGAAAAAAGATGTTAGAGGAAGGTATCAATAGAATGGATGAATTGGAAATGTGTAATAAATAGAATTTGATAGAAGTTTGGAATTTTATAAACGTGGTTATGGTGACTTAACAACAATTCCTTTTGTAATATCTATCTTATTTTGAACAAATTAGACAAAAAAAATGAGGCCTAGTATTATGTAAGAAACTTAATATGGTTTATTAAGTGATTAATGCTTAATGTATAGTTGGTATTATGATCACTTCTTAATGATCATGGTAGAATATTCTATAGTAAACATAAATTTTTTAGAATATTCTAATAGAATAATGTATAATGGCATCATTATTCTATTAGAATAATATTAGATGTTGCATATACCTATATAACATTCTTACATGTATAATCTTGTATTATAATAATTTGATAACAAAACATTATACTGCAATCATTCGTATATACTTCAATGCAAAAATTAAAGATTGAAAATATTAGAAGAATCAATATGTTTTCAAATGTATCACACATCATCACAAACCAAATGTCTCATACATCATCACAAACCAAATTTCTCATACATCATCACAAACCAAAACATCTGAAAAATGTCCAAACTAAAGAAATTCAAACTTTTATCTATATGGTCATATTGAACTTTATTGAAATAAGAAAAAAATCGAAATATATTTCTAGACACAACTATGCACTTTGTACCTTGGAGTTATTCAACAATGTCAAACATTTCCTTGAATTATGCCCTTTCACCCCACATGTTTTGCATGATCTTGATTTCTTGTTACCTTGAATAGTAGCCTTCTCCAAAACACTTTTTAAACGTTTTCCTGTACCAGAACCTTTATTCTTCACCATAGGTGGATTTTCAACATCAACAACTTCAGGATTCGTAGTAGCTCCGTAAATTTTATCAATATGAGCTTCTTTTGTAATCGGTGATTCGTCTGAACCTTGTTCACCAATATCGGTCATAAAACCTTCTATCTTTTGCATGAACTCTTCTAACTTCTTGTCATCATTACTTAATGAAGACAAGCATTGATCAAGCATGGAAAAAGCTTTGTATGCAACCTTCTCAACATTTCCAAACGAATCACCATATCTAAACGTCCTTTTCAAAATTGTGGTGGAGATAATATCTCTTCTCCATCTCTTAAGAATGTATCTTGACGGAATCTCTTGTATGTCATAAATCTTTAGAATACAGAAGATGTGTCTACAAAAAATTCCAAACCGCTCAAAAGCATGCATGAACATTTCACCGTTAGATCTTATCTGTTGAATTCAACCTGTTTCAAAAGTATTAGGATATTAAGTATATTCAAAAAAGAAAAATTAGAATATTTTTCAAAAGTATTAGATCATTAATTATATTCTAAAAAGAAAAATTAGAATAATATAAAAAAAATTAAAGACAATAATTTAGTAATAAAAATTATAATATTAGAATTATAAAATGTCAACATTACCTCGAAATCACCTTCACTTGTGTTAAAATTCCATTCACAATCGATGTCAACTTTTTCTTTTTTCTCAACTACTACCTTCTTCTTTGATAGATTTGTCCTTTTATGTTTGACAATGCATATGTCGGAAACAACGCCTGAAGTAACACTCTTCTGTGAACAAAAAACAAGTGAATGAAGAATCTCCCTCTACACCATGAGAAAAATAGTCCTGGTGTATACCATAAATGCATGTTTCTCCATATCTTCAAGAGGTGTTTTGATGATTGGAATTATAGTAGATGTATCAAAATCAAATTTGATCTGATTATTCCTTTGACTTTCCATAACAGACTCAAAAGCATTCATGAAATTGTTTAACGTATAACCATGATGTGATACCCTATTGAATGCTGAATTCTCACTTTCCGACCGAGAAGTTGTTCTCAGTAGACCTGACATCGGTACATCTTTAGAATAAGCTGGAATCCAACTGCTTCTCAAATCAAACATATCTTTCAGCGATTTATTGTCTTGTAACTTATATTTTACCATTAATGCATCCCATCTCATTTCAAAATCTTTCACAGCAATTTTGGAGTCCCATACTATACTATTGAAGTCCGCCTTAAAATCTGATTCATTCATTGTTTCCCAGCTTACCTTCAAAAACAATTCATATATTATTCTGTTAGAATATAATATAGTATAAAAAGGCATTTCATTTAATATATTATCCTAATTACAAAAAATATTTCATTTAATATTCTGATAAAAATATAATACAGTATAAAAAGGCATTTCATTTAATATATTATTCTAATTAAAAAAATGTCATTTAATATTCCGATAAGAAAAGAGCAATAATGTCATATTTATATTGAAAATAATGTCATATTTATATTGATAAGAATATAACAATAATGTTAGTACCTTCAATGGAAGTTACTTGTGATATGTCACATACAAAATCTATGTTTTGTGTATGGCAATACTATCTCAATAGCTTTTTTCATTGCTGGATCTTGATCGGTCACGACCATGATTGGTGCTTTTCCAAAACACTTCAAGAATGCTCGAAGTAACCAAATATAGGAATTTGAATCTTCTCTACACAATAGACCAGCTCCAAAAGTGACGCACCTTTTGTGATTATCAATGCCAGTAAAATGTACAAATACCATACAATACCTAAAAAAACACAAAATAGACCATTAGAATATATAACTAAAAAATGTTTATAATTCTAGAATAAATACCTGTTTGTACAATATGTTGCGTCAAACGAAACAACGTCCCCAAATAACTCAAAGTTTTGTTTTGAAGTATCATCAGCCCAAAAGAGAGCATTTAACTGCTTCTTGTCACATCTGTATTCGTATGTAAAATTTGTAACATTCTCTTTACGATTCTGAAGCTTTGTAATCAACAAATTTGTATCAGTGCCCCCGATGTGACAATTTATATCCCTTGTAAAAATTTTCCAATCTATCTCTAGTCCATCAACAAATTCACATCCTCCTTTTATAACGCACATTAGCCTATATGCTGTAGTTGCCCCCACCTTTGCACTCGAAAGCTTATGTATAAAAGTTTGATCAACAATATCCAACTGATGTTTAGCTCTTGAAAGATGCATACAATCTTGATAGATCAATTCGTGGTTGTGTTGTTGTTCAAAGCGCCACAGGTAAACTTCTGAAGAATGTGGTATAACTTTGAATACAACAAAAGCTTTGCAATTTGTGCGTTTACAATTACTATTTCTCAATTGCTTGTTATGATCATCACTAATCGTGTCTAAGGTAGAAGTGTTTGGCAATCCCCCTCTATTGCATATAAAATATTTCAAAGTTGTGATTCCACTCTTTTTCCTCTCTATTGATTTTCTAATATCAAAACCAGATCTTAATACATATCCTTTATACCACTTAATAGCATCTTTGATATCTTTGAAAATTGAACCCATTGGAGGTATCCAACTAGCTTCAACCTCTGGAATCCAAAAGAAAGAACCATCAGCTCCAATGAATTGTTTGCAAGAGCCATATTGTGCTGCAACATTGTCACTTTGAACTACAAAAAAGAATATACCACCATGTTAACATATAATCAGAATAATTTGCATTCATATGACTGTAATCATAAAAAACCACAATGTTATATGTGCATTATTCTATAAGCATAATATGCAGTAACATAAACTTATCACCAACATCATTCTATAAGAATAACCGAGATCAGTAACAGAATTACCTTGGATTTCAGATTGATTTTCATCATTATGCAGAATCTCTGAATCACCATAACTGAATTGATGATTTTCTTCATCGTAATGATCATTTCCGATGTCATTCATATCTAAATCATCCATAACTGTTGCTAGAGGTAACGATCGTGCCAAATTTGCGATGTCATTCATATCTAAATCATCCATAAACTATTGCTAGAGGTAACGATCGTAATGATCATTTCCGATGTCATTCATATCTGAATTACCGCTAGATACTTAAGGATCTCGAAACCAAAAACAAACCATATACTCTAAGGATAGACGTAACGATCGTGCCAAATTTGCGATTACCTACTACCGTAAATACATCATAGGGATGTAGATGGAAACAATGAGAATCATACGACAAGACGCGAAATTTATAGAGTACAACCAGGAATGACGATCACTACTTACGATCTGGCTTATCATCATGCAGCAGGAAAATGTCATCCCACAGAAATAACAAGCACACCCACGAGACACCGCTCCTGCAGATGGACTCTGCTACATTCCAAGCTGCTGTAACAGCGGCAGTAACCGCTGCTATGACACAACTCAACGCAAACAACACCAACAGAGGTGGAAATAGCATTGACAACTCCAGTCGTAGGAACGAGCATGGAAACCAACAAGTGACAGCTTATCAAGGCACTCCAAACCCCAAGCTTAAGAACAGGAAGCGGAAGTCTGGAAGTAAGAGAAAGGGACAGCCCGCTCATGGGTTCTCGAAGAAGCAACATGTTGTTGTTGTCCATGCGACCATGACCCCTACTACATCAACACCAGCGAGAGCATATACTGGAAGTCTTCCAAAATGCAACCAGTGCAATTTCCATCATAAGGGAGCCTGCCGGGAGCCGCATTGTAAGAAATGCAACCGAAAGAGTCACACCACCAAATATTGTAGAACTTATCCACGACAGAATCGTCAGCCAAACAAAACAACAACAATCGCAACAACCTTAACAACAACACCAATGATGAGACCAGTCACACCTGCTATGGGTGTGGAGAAACCGGTCACTTCAGGCACAATTGCCCCAAGGCTAACAATCAAGG